GAGAGAGAGAGAGAGAGAGAGAGAGAGAGAGAGAGAGAGAGAGAGAGAGATTTTGTGGGTGGAGCAGTGGGGAGTGCTCTTAACCACTTCCGTTTCTCTCTCCACCTCCACCTCGGTCTCTCTCTCAATACATCAGCTCTCTGTCTCTAGGCGTACATGGTCGAATACCACCACCCCCGTACCTCGCGCATCACGGACATGCTTCACCCCGCACAGTTGTTTTATCGCACCGGTGCGATCGATCAGCAGATTCTGTCCGTGGGACTAGACTAGCCTCACACAGTCGAGGACAAGAACGACAATAGGGCATCGACCGATCCACCCTCAGCAAGAACCAACTACAAGGTGGCAAGGAGGCCACGAAAAGGGAACAAGATGATAGGGTTCAAGCTGATATTTATTTTCGTGGCCTCCTTGCCGCCTTGCAGTTGATACGTTAGCTTGCGCCCTACTCTATTCTTCCATTTTCATTACCTCCTTGCGGCCTTGTAGGTGTGCTTCTCTCCGAGGATGGAGAGGTCGATTCCCTTCCGAGTTGTCATTGTTCTTGTCCACTATTGTTTGAGGCTATTAATAGTAATTGTACGAGACTTGTACTACTCCCCCGAGAGGTAGCTAGTCCCTCTCGCACAGGATCTGGTGATCGATCGCACTAGCGTGATGTGTACGCTGCTGTGCAGCGGCGCATCAAACCCGTGCGGTCTATCTATTGCCATGGCTTGAGCCGCCGCCGAAATGCGGGTGATGACTGTTTTCCAGTGGCCTTCGCGAGGCTATACGACCGTAAACGTCGTGGTTTCCCCCCCCTAGTAGAGTTTCCCCCCCACACACTACCGTTTCGGCCTGGAAGCATGGTTTCTTTGATTTAGGCCCGGGGTAGATCGTTTTCGACCAAAAATATATCTATATCCCCCCGGGTATTTCAATTTCCCCCCGGTATACCTTTTTTCCCACGAGGTCCCCCCGGGGGGATGCATTTTCCTTATTTTCTGAGTCGATTTTGTTGCATCGCGGAGCACAAAAAGCATGATATGGGACAGAAAAATAATTTGCAGATCTGCGCTTGGAGCGAGGTTTACGTGTACGATTTGTCGCTGGAAAGCGGGCCCTTCCTCTTGTTGGAATCACTCGCAGGACGAGACAAACTCCCCCAGCTGCTGTCCTCCTTGCTGTTCTTTTTCTCTTCGCCTTCGTTGCTCTTACGTTCCTCCTCCCGACGGTTGTTGAACGCTTGCTCGTAAACCTTATCTATCTCAGTTTCGCCATTCTCTCTGTATGTGGTATGTGGACATAATTGTTTTGCACAATCCCCCCCCCCTTCGGTGTTTGCCATCGGGGTTGGGTCTTCGTCGCTTGGCAACGACGTTGTAAAACAAGCCGCCCCCCCCCGGTGTTTGCCATCGGGGTTGGGTT